GCCCCGAGTTGCTGGGGGCCCCTGAAAATTTTTTGTAGGGGCCCCGCCTTTTTTGTGTGTTAAATATTTCCGCGCAAAGGACAAGATATCTGTTTTCTTGGGCTAAGTACCGAATTTTGGCCTAAAAAAATGAGATAAAGTCACTCGAAAGCGTTTGCAACGTACGCGTCCGGTAAAATTTTGCGTCCGAAAAATTTTTTTACCTCTAAAATGGTACACTGACCGAAAAATTTTTGGCGACGGGGGGGGGGTCGCCAAAATAATATCCGGAAAAAATTTTTCCGGAAAAATTATTTTAGGTAGGGCCCCCTAAAAAAAATTTGCCCCGGGCCCCCGCCAACCTCTGGGCGGCCCTGATTTGAACTTTAAAAGAAATAAGGATAAATGTAAAATGACTCGTTCTTTCGACGACGTCGATCGAGGGAGAAATTTCAAAACAATACAGACAGTAATAATTAAGTTCTTTGTAATAAGTTCTTCAATACAAGTAATAAGTTTTCAACACAGACAGTGATAAGTTCTTTCTTTCCGCAAACAAAACTATTAATACAGATGGTATTTGAATTTGGGAATGTAGTTTTGATCGTAGTTTTGCGACCTCGCGCTAGCAGTTCAGTTTAGGTTTAAGATTATTATTGTGTGTTTATATATCTCCACACAAAAATCGGAGTTGAGTATTTTTTATAGCATCGGAAATTACTTTGCAGCCATAATTTGGCTGCAAAGTAAGTAAACAAAAATTGTATTTTGGCTTTGCTACTATTCTTTGACTTTGTCATTATATATCGATAATTATTTTTACAACATTTTATTGAAGCAACTGCAGAACTGTCAACACATTTTACTCTCTGGCCAGTTTATTAAAGCACGACTTTAATAATATACAGTACATACAATATAGTAAATTAGCTCAGTGGTTTCACCGCCCACTATCTTCTAAGCACCCTGAGTGCAAGGATAGGATCCGGAGCTGAGCAATCAATCAAATCGCGCAAAAAGCACTATACACTTCCCCGAGTATACAGCTATTTCAATTAAGGTTGTCCACGAGCAAAGCGGAAAAGTCGAATACGAGCGCGAACTGAGGCTGCTGGGGATCGCTAACAAATGCATTTTCATAGCGATTCCCAGCAGCCTTTCGCGCTCGTATTCGACTTTTCCGCTTTGCTCGGGGACAACCTTAATTGAAACAGCTGTATGCTAAATACTGCTATTATATTTATACATACCAAGTTATCTTGTTAACTCTCAGTCAACGGTTAAATATCGAAAGAACTAGATTTAATTCCGAAATATCGCCCACTTTAACCGACTTGACCTCGTAGCTCAGTTGATATAGGGCATTGGACTAGCAAACCAAATGTCGTGGGTTCGTTTCCTCACCGCATGTCAAACAAACTTTTCAGCTTACTCATATAAATTTGGCGATTGTAGTTTGAAATCGAGCAAATGACGTAAAGGAAGCTCAACGTCTTAAAATCGCCCACGCCCCGTCGACAGGAATTAGGGGGGAAAAATTTAATGATGTAAATTTTTTGTAGTTGTCGGGCAATGTCATTTACATCCGGGGAAAATTTTGTCCTCACCCCTAATTATTTCCCTCCCGTTGCCCGTACGCCTATATATATATATATATATATATATATATATATATATATATATATATATATATATATATATATATATATATATATATATATATATATATATATATATATATATATATATATATATATATATATATATATATATATATATATAATATTAATGAGACCAAAAATGAT